GAGAACCATCCCTGCCTCCCATTAGAATGTCTGACGCTCAACTCCACGAGAGCACCTCTTTGCGACTGCTCGGTCTCACAATGTCTGCTGACCTGAGATGGACCAAATACATTGAGTCAATAGCTTCGTCCACCGCAAGGAAAGTTGACTCCCTGTGCCGCGTCAGGTAATTTTTCTCGCCGGAGTCGATCCTTCAAATCTACAAATCAACCATTCGCCCTTGCATGGAGTATTGCTGCCATATATGGTCTTGAGCCCCTTCTGTTTGTCTCAAGGTCCTTGATAAAATCCAAAGATGGATATGCAATGTAATTGGCATCTCGCCTGCAGTCGCTCACTCACAGACATGCCGTCGACTCCCTCTGTCTTTTTTTACAAATACTTTCATGGTAACTGCTCCGATGAGCTGCTTTCGCTGGTTCCCAGACTTCATGAATTTAAGCGTTCTACTAAGCTGGCATCTGGCTCACACCCGTTCACTGTCGAAACTGTTGAATGTAGCCGTCTTTTCTACTCCAATAGCTTCATGTCTCGCACCTTTCGCGTGTGGAACTCCCTCCCCATTTCCTGTTTCCCTGATAGCTATAATCTCCAACTATTCAAATGTAATGTCAATCGACGTCTCCAGATGCCCTGATCTATCTCCTATCCTTCTCTTCATCCTTTCCTCTATCACTCCTCTTTGTTCTCGCTCCAAGACTCTGTAACCCCTTGCGTGCTAGTGGCTTCCAGCTGTGCTTGGGGTTGAATGCCTAAAAAAGATACGAGAGAAACACTAAGGAGATAGAACAATAACATGAAAGTAATTAAGAAAACAAGATAACAACGATTAAGAATGCATATAAAAGCTTGAAGATTGAATGGGAAGCAAGAAACGGGAACTGTGATAGAAGAAACTGTTAGCATAGAACTTACGGTTATACGATGAATTATAAAAATATTCGGGCTGATTCTATAGTAACGGAGATAAAATACGTAATGTTAAACCACTTGGTACAGTTTATAGAGTGAAAAGGAAAGCAAATTTGTTCTCTTTAAAAAACAGACGTTTTCTCTAATTGACGACTTTTCCATTGCACAAAATTCTTAACAAGGAAACGATAACCAAAGACAATTTACGGCAAATGTCCAGTCGCCAACAAAAAAGATTTTACCAAGGAATTTGGCAACTAACTTGAAAAGGTTTATTCAAAATTTTCGAAATTATTCAAAAGCCATTCGATTCAACAAAGAAACTGAACTCCGTCATGTATGCACACACTAAGTTATAACTATCTTGCTCACACCGTTGTTTATACGAGGGCTTGGGAGGAAAGTGTGTAGAGTGTGGTCGTCTCACAACACCATAAAGGTTCCATCAGTGACCATGGCTTTTTCAGCATTGTTTAGCTAAGCGCAACATTCCCCAAGTTCGACACCTATCATATTCTCCAGATCCCTCCCCGTCCGACATTCTCCTCTGCAAAGATCAAATCTCGCTTGAATGATTTAAAGATATAGAGGAAAGACACGAGAAAAAAAAATGAAATCCAGCTAGATGAGTAAGGTGCCTCAGAAGGGGACTAATTTGAAGGAGATTAAATACCGAATTGATATATGCTGTAGTTTTCTTTTTATAGCATCAGTCCCGATATTTTTGATCAGCTGTCGTATCTAGCCATTTCAAATGTAAAACAATGAGACCTTGCCTAGTACTGCGCTTAAATTCAGTATTAAATTAAATGTTTGTATTGTTGTGTTAGTAAGGTCTGATAGGAATAAGACACGTAAAATAATTTCTTATTCTTTTTTTTTTCTTTTTTTAAATTAACGTCAGTGGAATCGAGGGCACGTGGTTTCCGGTACTTTTTCTCGACCATAACAGAACATCTTCTTGAAACATCGAATGACATGAAGCAAGACCCTCGTTTTAATATGAATGATCGCTGTTTGTTTTGAAATGATTATCAAAACCCCTTATTTAGAATGAAGAACGAAAAACAAAGGAAACTGATCTGAACTGTTAATTACTATCAGGAGTAGCACGTAAAATGAATAGCACCTGCAACTCGAAGAGAAATTAATGATAGAATCGCTTGGAAAATCACTACGATGTATTACTTTTTATTATCTGTTTCTAACTCATCTTGCTATGCTCTACCTTGACAAGAGCCAGATCATGCCGAAAATGGGGTACTGTTCTCATATTTGGGCAGTAGCTACCGGGTCCTTACTTTCTAAAAACGTCTGAGTATCTTTGCGGGTGATAAATTATTTTCCCTTGTGCAATCCCTTGCGCACAGACAGAATGTGGCAAGCGTCACCCTGCTACTTCCATGAAAAGTGCTCAGTCGAACTACATTTCTTAGTTCCTCAAAATGTTACATTTACGGCTAGGACCCAAAAGTCCACGCGCATTATGGTGAACCGCTCGTATTCCTTCCGTATTTCATTAGGGAGAAATAATTTCCTCTCGAGCAGACTCTTCTCGGGATATTTCTTAGGATATTTCCCCCGGTTTCTCCAATCTTAACCAGTTCAAATCTAGGGTAAATGTTATCTCCCACAGCATATCAACCTAAAATGGGCCCAATACTCTGTAACCTTTTACCTCTAGTGGCTCGCGAACTTTATACAATGTAAAAAACAAAAAAATCTAAGGTACGCTGAACATAGTTGTATTAGAAACAAGATTGTTTGTGATAAAAGAAACATTAATGAGTTTGTGAAGAAGTCTGTGATTGGAAATCAGTTGCCAGCCATTATTATACATCCATACACACACACACACACACACACATATATATATATATATATAAATATATATATATATATATATATATATATGGCCTGGTATTGAACTTATATATATATATATATATATATATATATATATATATGGCTATATATATATATATATATATATATATATATATATATATATATATATATATATATATATATATATATATATATATATATATATATATATATATATATATATATATATAGAGAGAGAGAGAGAGAGAGTTGTTGTGAGTTCAATACCAGGCCACAGAAGCGGTAAACCAAAATTTGTAGATTAAAGATAAAAGGAAATAGCTAAGACATTCGGAAAAGGCATGGCACGTGAAACTAAAACAATTTAAGGGTTCGGTTCGAAATTACAATTACCTGAAGACGGCCGGAGCGTAGCACGGTTGAAATGTTGTGAATAGAGCAATGAAGATGATGATAACTGTCCGAATAATGTAAATAATGCAATTGATAAAAACGAAGTTACAATTTTATGATTATTCTCAGTGTTCATACATTCGGAGCGAATATTTTCTTTCGTGGATTAGATAGAATAATCGTAAACAGAAGTTGTAAACTATAAATAAAATCAACCACGTCATTTTTGACGGGTACTATCCTATTAATAATATTTTGCTTGTTCCTTCTATTGTCGCTTTTTCAATATGCATTACGTGACTGGATATCCACTGTCTAATCTACGAAATCGCCGTCAGGTTACTGCAATTCTCAGTGCATTTTTTAAATAAGTAACAGACGACAAAGTGTAATTTTAATCATCTTGCTTGTTCGTCATTGTGTACAGAAATGACTCATTCGCTGGTCTTTACAATATCGCGTCTACTAAATGGCAAACGGAATTGTTGAAGCTGAGTAGTATTAATTCTTTCGACAGACAAATGTAAGGTATATTTTTGCTGAAACGTTGACGATCATCGATCATAGATACTTTTCTCTATTATTTGTGCGATGCCATGTTTTTCTCTGGTTTGGAATTTAGATTTCTCTTCTCCTAGATTGTCTGCCAGCCAAGGCGATAAAGTTCAATCTAATCTGCTATTTAACTCGAAGCTTCGAAACGCAGTTAATTAAATATTGAGTTCGGTTCTTCGATTCCACCTTAAAATCACATGGAATAAAATTATGTATAGATTTTGCTCTCTCCGTTCAACTCCGAAGAAAGATCTGGAAGTCTAAAGCTAGTTTTAAGACACTCCCACCCCAAAGGATACACTCTCTTAAATGCCATAACTTTTCAGGATTAGACATTAAAAGTGGGTGTTACTTTTAATGTGTGAATTGTCATGTTTCCAGGGAGGAAGAAGAGACTGAGTCATACCTTCTCCAAGGGTATTAGTATCAATGTGAGCTCAACAGACATAGCTCGAAATTTGAACGCTAATAGAATAAAATCAATTTTAATTTGTTATCTCAGTTGGGCTCCAAACAAAGGTCATGATTTTGAAAGTCTAAGGTTGGATTTATGTGCCTCCTTCCCAAAATAAACGTTTTAAATTCACTCTTCTGAATTTAGGCAATGATAGCTCTCACACCTTCTCTCGTTTTAATATGTGTGAATTGCCATGTTTCTATGGAGGGAGAAGAGACTGAGTTATCCCTTTTCCAAGGGTATTAGTACGAATGTGAGCTCAACAGACGTAGCTTGAAATTTGAACACATATGGAATAAAACCAATTATAGTTTTTTTTTCTTATCTCAGTTGGGCCCCGAACAAAGGGGTTGGTTTTGAAAGTCTAAGGTTGGTTTTCAGTAGTCCCTACCCCAAAGTAAATATTGTTTTAAATGCTATCTTTTTTTTCAGGGCAGGTAATCATGACTCTCCACATCTTCCGTATGTGTAAATTGTAATGATTGATACCTTTTCCAAGAAAGAGATCTGAACAGACGAGCCCGGAATTTGAACCCGGGTCTCTGATTTCATTTTCCGTGCTGATTTCCGATAAACTCGCCTCAGATTAACTTCTTTAACAAATTGGGAAACTATTTTAAAGCTTTCATAAAAATCTGAAGGCTTACGGCCATATCATGTTGAAACACCGGTTCTTGTAGGATCACCGAAGTTAAGCAACGTCGAGCCTGATCAATACCTAGATGGAACAACTACATTGATACATCCCGATTCCGTCTCGATGTGATAATACACATCAGAATCTTTGAGATAGGGAAGTGTATCACGTCGGGTCTATACTGATAAAACGGTCTTAGGGTCACATCACGTTGAAACACGGGTTATTGTACGAACACCGAAGTTAAGCAACGTCGAGCCTGGTTAGTACCTAGATGGGTGATGGCTTGGGAATACCAGGTGTTGTAAGCTTGGATGTGCGGGTGACGTAATAGATCAAGGCTCAGAGTTTCTAATCAGAGAGCCGAGTTCTAATTCCTGGATCCATTATATTTACTTAAGCGCAAACACCATTGTCAGAACAAAGTATCTACCTCTTCTTCCCCAAGCTATGGGTTAATGAGTAATATTTGTATCAGTGAATCATTGTTATATAAAATATACTTACAATTAAAACTATTTTCTGGCTTTAAATAACCTTCAAAGGGTTGATAAGCTGTAGAAAACGAACCAATCAATAGACTGAAATACATGCCTTTTAGATTTATTTATATTCTCTAGAATATAAATATATAGAATCTAGTGACCATGAAGTGAGGGATCAGTTTATATATTGATTATAATATAGAATTGATCCCCCACTTTATATCCAAATTATATTTTTTTGTTTGCTTAACTAATTCTGTTTAGGTAAGAATCCACCTCTTCCCCCCAGCTATGGGTTAATTAGTAAGACTTGTATCACTAAACTATTCTTATCTCCAAAATATTCTCTGGCTTTCAATAACCTGCTGCGGGTTGATAAGCCGTAAAAAACGAATCAATAAATTAAATACCGATTAGCTACACATGTATGTATTTTAGATTTATTTAAATTCTCTTGAATATACATGTATAGAAACTACTGTGACCACAAAGTGAGGGATCATTTTATTTTGATTGTAAAATAGAATTGATCCCCCACTTTATATCCACGTTATAATTTCTTGTTTGTTTATCAATTTCTTTTTAGTTAGGAAATAACTCTTCTCCTATTCTTTACTAGAGCTTATATCACTAAGTCATTACTATGTCCCCATCAAATTCTTACAATCTAAAAATATTACCTGGCTTTAAATAACCTGAATCAACGAATTGATCTGAATTTCAGCCTTGAAGGAGTTCTCTATGCCAGTATTTCCCAAAGATTTTTGGCCACGATTTAAAACATTCTTTTAGTTTTTTTTTTTATCTACAAATTTTATTTAGAAAAATATACTTCATTGATCTATAGATATCGATATTTCTTTTGTTGATCAAATATACTTCAAATATACAAATCAACCATTCGCCCTTGCATGGAGTATTGTTGCCATAGATGGTCTGGGTCAAAGTTCTTGACAAGATCCAGAGACGGATATGTAATATAATTGGCCCTGATCTGGCAGCTCGTCTACAGTTGCTCTCTCACAGACGCACCGTCGCCTCTCTCTGTCTTTTTTTACAAATACTTTCATGGTAATTGCTCCACTGAGCTGCTTTCCCAGACTTCATGAATTCAAGCGCCCTACGAGGCTGGCATCCCGCTCCCACCCTTACACTGTAGAAACTTTTAAATGTAGCCGTCTCTTCTACTCCAATAGCTTCATACCTCGCACCTCTCGCCTGTGGAACACCCTTTCCAATTACTGTTTCCCTGAGAGCTATAATCTCCAACTATTCAAATGTAATGTCAATCGACACCTCCAGTTACCTTGATCTATCCACTATCCCTCTGCTCATCTTTCTTCTATCACTCCTATCTGCTTTCGCTCCTAATCTTCTGCAAACCCCTGCATCCTAGTGGCTTCACGCCTTGCTCGGGGCGTAATGCTTAAAAAAATGAAATTAAAGCTTCACCGGTTCCAAGCCAAACCCTGGACAAGAACTGAAATACGCCAGAAGCTTTGTCCCGTTTATCTTTACTTTAATGTTCATTTTTAGTTTACCTTTATTAATGTTCACCCAATAAAAACCCCAAGACCAAGCCAATGTAAAGGTTTATTATAGGAGACATTTGTATGCATGATAATAGGAAGAGTCAAGAGGCGTGGTAAATGAAGGATATGTGGAAAAGATGGCGATTAATGCTCGACCTTGAAGGGGTCAAGAATATAATAGTCAGAGAAGCATTCTCTTGAGAGACGCTTACACGAAATAGCCATTTGTGGGAAGAAGCTGACCAAGAACTTCCTCCTTACTAATGGAAAACAAAGTGAATCAGGGTTGTCAGCCTCAGAGTAGGCGACGTTCAAAACTAATATCTCGTATTAGTACCTGAATGCCGTTCTGTGTAAGATGATAATTTACACCCGAGAGGCATGCCTCTGATCTGAAGGTTTAGAGGACCGTATATCCATTTCTTAATTGCTGGTCTTCCAATGTCTAACCTGACCCGGAGTGGTAGCACCTGTTAGGGGTCCCAAATATGGGCAAATAGTTAATCCCTAAACCGTAGTAAAAATATATTAACACCAGCAATAATTTTTTTGAGGAAAGTTCTTACCAGCGATACATTACCAGCAATACATTTTTGTAAAAAATATTACCAGCAATAAAAATCCTGTCGGCAGTAAATAACCCATTGAGGTGTTGATATGCCGTAAAACAAAACAAACCAAACTAAGTACCTGAATGACAATTTATATTTCAAAATAGAGATGTATTTGCCATTTGAAATTGTCATACAAAAACATGCGTCCTCCGACAGGAATCGAACCTGCATCCCATGCGGAACCGTCATATAGCCTGACGGGCTTTTACCGATTGGACCGATTTTACTGTATTTAAACTTCAATCTTCCATGACTCTCTCACGTACATTCATATCTGCTCAATGCGTATCCAAATGTAAACAAATGACGTCACACATTATGAAATGGACAAAGTCCGACAATTATTTTAAGACATTTTTATGTTTATAAATTCTTTTTATGAATACAAATATTTAAGTAAATGCTCAGTTTATAAAAAAAAATAATAAATAAATAATATATCTTATGACTTTCATTTTATATTATATTTCCTTATTAAAAAATGTTTATAATTATTTCAAAGGTTTCGGATATATTACGCCAAAAAATAAAAATGCAAAATAAGCGTTTTATTTATGTTTCAGAAACACGGTCCTAATTGCAACAAATTGTTGGAACTGTTAGGTAACTTTGATCTATTTAGGAAGAATATTGGAAAACTCCAGAAACTACACTGAGTATCAAAAACGTACATACGGATAGAAAATTAACATTAAAGGAGTGTAAGACAAGGATGTGTCTTCTCGCCGGACTTATTCAACCTATACTGTGAGGCGATTCTGAGAGAACAAAAGTCTTACCAGTATTCATTATCGGCGTCCACAATTTTAATGATGTGAGATATGCAAATGATACAATGTTAGAGCAGCCCAATAGGAAAATTACAAATTGGAGATAGCAAATTGAGTAAGTAAAACAATTTATATATCTGGGAAGTGTTTTAACAGAGGATGGAAAGCGTTGTTGACCATGTTCGCCATTGTCTATGAATATAGAATCCAGCGCAGTACGTAATCTGTTCAATGAAACAACGTTAAAGATTAACACTCACGAGTCAGACACTCTACTGAATCTGACTCTATCGCCAATACCACCAGCAGCTGTTCCGTAATTCTTCGGTCTTCGATATCAAAGGTTGGCAGTGAATATTCGGAAAAAAAAACATGGCTGCCTTTATACACGTCGCATTGAATATTTTGAGCCTTCTGATTGGTTAAGTCTTCTATTGGTGAACTATAAAATGAAAAACGTAATAAACTGCATTTCGGATTGAGAAATCAGAGAATCAAGTTCGAATACCCTACGTAAAAGTTTATATCGTCATATAAACTCGTATACTATGGGTTAAATAATTGAATATGTATCGGGAAAATCATTGTTACATTCAAGAAACTCTTAATGCCACATAGACTTACAGAAAAAAGAATTTTTCTTGAAATCCAAAACAGTTCGTCCAAAAAGAATTGATAAACCCTAAAAAATGCTCGCTACTTTCACTTATAAACTTTTCACAGTCAGTCCCTTGTAGTTTAGGCCACTAACTGCTTTCAGAAAAAAAACATGGACACCTGTTTTCATAAGAAATGTTTTACCTGCGCTACTAAATGCGATTTATACCAGGACAATATATATATATATATATATATATATATATATATATATATATATATATATATATATATATATATAATTATTTATTTAAAAATATGATTCCAAATCGCTACATAAGAGGTCTCATGTTTCAAAAACAAGAGCCGAAAACTTCAATATAATCCATTAAATTAAATTGAGTTTAAATTAAAAATTTGGAATCATATTTTTAAATTAATAATTATATTTATGCTCTACTTTTGTATCGAGAACTATTTTTTAAAAATAATAACTAAAATACTAAGGGACTTTGGATTATTTACCTAACCAGTTCTTTCCTATTTTCTATATATTTTCACACACACACACACACACATATATATATATATATATATATATATTGAATTCATTTTTTAGCTTGGGGACAAAATCAAGTATAAATAAAAAGAGACATTTTTTAACCTTTGAAATAAATATTTTTTTTGCATTGTCAAAGTGTCCAATTCGCCTGCAGTTAATTAAACAGAGTACACACACCGTTTACAATGAGAAGACGACAATGCAATATTCACAGAAAAGGTTTCCTTTGGCAAGGACACCACGAAGGTTCTTGGCGCAGACTAATTGCTTTGCTTAGTTATTCAGCTTTTGCCATGACTACTAGGTTCGATCTTTACTGGAAGCTTCAAAGATTAACCCTAAAAACCGTTGATATAACGTAAAATCAATCAGCCTATCATTGTCTATTTCGTTCCCATTTCCATGAAAATAATATTTATGATCACTCAAATGATTTTTGTTACTTTATTTGTTTGTTTTTTTTTTTTTAAGCATTTCACCCTAAGCAAGGCGGTAGTGCCACTAGAACGCAAGCGGTTACAGAGAGTGAGAGCAAGAGTAAAGAGGGTTGTTTGAGGAAAGGCTATAGAGAAGGACGGGGATCAGGATCAAGGCATCAGAAGAGGTCGATTGACATTGCATTTGAATACTTGAAGATTATAGCTATAAAGGGATAAAGTAAGAGGAAGGGAGTTCCTCTGTCGGGAAGTGCAAGAGAAGAAGTTGTTGAAGTAGAAGAGGTGATTACGTTTAATTGTTTCGAAAGTGAA